GGGGGGGGGCGGATCACGTGGGATATGGTAACTTAGCTTGTGGTCTCTGAATCATTAGTAGCCTATTACACTTAAGAAGGTGGTATATACATGTATTGAAAGACAGCAACCAGAAAGGTCACATGTTCCCATTCACACAGGAAAACTCATGAGTTCACAGAATGGAAAATGAAAGCAGTGAATGCTTATAGTTTAACCCAGTTTCACTTGGTTGTAGATGCACAAGATAGTCCAAAGATTTCTCAAAAAGCATTTTTTCATTAGGCAACACGGGCTGGCAGCTCTAATTACACACTCCAGTGATTGTCTCTGAAACAACAGACTGTCTTGAACAAAAGAGATGACCAAGATGATGAAGTTAGGAAAGCCCTATTAACCTGAAATGATTTATATGTATTCTTCCTACTTCTTCCCTTGTTTTTTTCTTCCTCGTAAAACATGAGCATTCAGCAACAGAAAAGAGATGCTATTAAAGACAAGCACCCATCTACAAAATAAATGCTCTGAAGGACTCATCTACCAAGCTGAAGAAGAAAGCTCTCAATTGCAGCAATTCCAGACTATGCCTTACAGGTCTGATATTTTCATACCCAGCCAACAGAAACAAGGCCATGTTAGGAATCCTAAGTAAAAATGGGTCAATGTTCTCTGGGTCTCTCCCACTGAAGTTAGCAAAAGTTTAACACAGTCTGGAAGAAACAAAGAAAAATGGGTTATTTTAAAGGCCGCTCTCTGAATCTTGTGGTTGAAATTTAGCAATTACACACCTTGGTGGGCCCCTGCAAACTTTGGGGCAGCCCCCTTGCTTAAGCTCACCATTACATGAGTTCTCTTGCAGCCTCTAGAGTTCTCTTGAAGCACTTAAAAGAAAAGCAAATTGAAAAGCAAAAGCTGATGCGTGGGATTGGGATGCCTCTCCTCACTTGGTTTCCCACTCCATCCTCTCACAGTTGACATGTAATTCCATTCATTAAACAATTACCTCTTTAAGCAGGTACAATTTTTAGCCCCCACCTCTACTCTTACTGGAGGGCTGAGCCAGAATCTCAAGGCTAAGAGAGTCAGAAACCCTATTTCCAATTCCAGATGGATGTTTGATTGGGTGGATGTTGTTTTTAAACAAAGAAAAATTAAAAGCAAAAAAACCAAAGCCCCAACTACCCCAAATTTATTTCTGCCATGAGCTAGAACCTTGGTTTCTTGACAGAGACATAGTAAGATTATTGCATAAAATACTGGTTTGTTCTTTATTTGCTCTTCATTTCGCTGCTGAGCCTTTTATTTAAATATTTTATTGTTGCCTGGAAATAGCTCACAGGTTTCCAACTTTCAAGCTCCTTTTAGAGGGAGGATGTAGATCCAGGACATAATTAAGCCTTCATTATTAGGAATATTTTCTTTTCAGGGACCCAGCAGGGTTTCCAGCATGCCAAAATCTTGTTTGGACCTTTTCAGAGGGTAGCCAAGTAATTTGGCAGAAGATAAACACAAGGAGCCAGAAGGGCTAGAATATTTTTTCAATAATCAGCTGAACATAACTAAAGAAACTGGAAACTAGTAGTGAAGAAATCAATTAAAAAATAGATTTTAAAAAGAAAGAAAAAAGCTCAATCTTTGAATTTGAACAGTGCGTACCAGACATCTCAGAAAGCATTCTGGATACTGCCAAAGACTTTCTATTGGACATTTGGAAACACTTCCCCAAAACTGCAAAAATATCTCGTTAATATTTCTCAACAGCAGAAGTACAAAGCAACCACAGGCCATGAGCACAAGTATTTACTGAATCTGTATCTTGCCGAAGAACGTATATATTTTGGCATGCATTTTTTCTGAAGGGAAAAGCCACCCACAGATATCAAAAGGCAGGAACTTTCACTTTGCTTACTCAGGCTGAAAACATGTACATCCCTTGATGGGGCAGCTTAAATCACAGCAAGTCATTAAATGTAAAGAACTGGCATAATGAAAGCATCTCTACTGCTACCCCTATACTCTTGCCTGCCATTTGAATATCTATGAGTTACTTTTTCTATATTCAGCTACCTCACCAGAGGACTCTTCTCGTAGAGCTCGCCTCTCCAGGAGCAGCAAGGTGTACCCATTTCTCTCTAGCACTGGACCTGGCAAAGGGACATAGACCCTTTTTGGAAAGGAGAGTGTTCCAAGAATGCTTAGCTTATTCTGATATGTATATTGCCATTCAGTCTTCCCATGTCTGAAGCATTTATCATACAAAATGTTAAATCAAGATCATCAAGTTTAGCAGCTAAGTTTAGAAAGTTTACAGGGTCCTTTTTATATAAAAGGATCCTACAAATGAATCTACAGAGAGACAAGAAAAAGAAAAGCGCTTAACGATACTTATCATACTGAAAGACTATCTCGGAGTTAAAAAGTTCCCCATACCCAACTGTAACAATCCATGGAAAACTCCGAGTAGGATTCCTTCTGGATGGCACTACATTTGTGGGAACTCAAAGAGACGGCATCATTGATGGTACTGAACCTGCAGGCTCAGCTTGAAGACTGCTAAAGCTTAAATGTTTGCAAAAAGTCCACTAACTCAGGTCTGACTTTTTTCAGTAGTAGTAGGGCCTCAGTATTATTGTAGTGTTATCAATTCTGTAGGTGTGTAGACAGAGCACAAGGTAAAGAAGAATACTTTCAGAAGCACTGCAGTGAGATATCTGTATCCCAAATTCAGATAAATATAATAACACAAGGTGAATGTTAATGAAGTCTGCTCCTTTTGTAGCTAAGATGCACGACATAAACAGCAAATATTTCAAAGTGAGACATCAGTATTTTCCTTTCAGTCATCCTTACAGATTTTAACAAACTGCAAAAGACAGTATTTAAGTTATAAGAGCACAAAAATTTCACGAGACAAATGATACAATTCATAACACAGAGAAATAAATGCAAAAAAGGATAGAACACATTTTCTGATACTCCACAAATATTCAGAAGAGGTTTAACACACAAAATGGAGTTTCTTCAGCAGCACTGATTAAACTCAAGATGAGGCAAGGATCTTCTTTACGAAGTAAAGGCACCAGCTCTTCGTAAACACATACTCCTCTCACTTTAACTGAGAAAGCACTCAAAATATTCCATGGAGGCAACCTCTGTGGTAGCATTCCATTGCCTATAAATACTTCACAGTATAGATGTCAAAGGCCTTTCTCTTCCTCTTTACTGTATTTAATAAGAAAGGTTTTTTTCTTCAATTTGTCTACTGTGAAACTCTTTAAATCTCCCTGGAAATGTTACAATGAATCTGTAAGACAGCGTTTCCTCTTATCTGCCTTCTGATATCTATCAAGAAGTTTCAAGGCAAAAGAAATGTCAGATGCCAGTATGAAACACACACGTTTCCAGTCATCTCTTGTTTTCAGTATTGTGCTATAGACAGTTTCCCAGAAGAAACCATTGGCTTATATTAAAAATACAGATACATTTAAAAAAAAACAACTTGTGAACATCCTCTAGCTGTGCAGCTACCTACTCTCTGACTTTTCAAATGCATTAGCAAAGACTGAACAAGAAACGAGTATTAGATACTTCTGATCATTGACAACTGTACTTCAGGATTCCAGATTTTTTCAAATATGCGTCCTGAATGTGCATGTCTCCCTAGCATGGAGACTATTCACACAGTTCTTTACTAATGAAACTGCAGAACTTGAAAACTGTTAAAATAAATATTCCATACAAAGGTGAGTTATTTGCATCTTGGGCAAAACGAATGGAGCATCTTCATAGTTTCCACCGCACAAATATCACCAATATCACCAAACACATTTTGCTACTCATACACACAAATCCAGTGATTATACTAATTAATATTGTTCAGTATCCAACCAAACTTGTGCGTTTCTAAGTCACCTTATTTCAGCTTTATAAAGCTGACTGTATTTTTAATGTAGTACTTTCAGGTTCTACAGGACTGTCAACTGGTACCTGGAGAGGGGGAAAAAAAAAAAAGCAGGAATTAAGCTGTTACTCAGCAGAAGCTATTTCCAACCTCAGTATTCTTGGGTAATTATTAGGCTAGAATCCAACAGTATATGTAGTTAATGAGCCAAATTAGGCATTTATAGAAAGCCTTATTTTCCCTTTTATCTGTAATGAAAAAAAAAAACCAGAACAAAACCAAAAAAAACAAGAATTGAGTTTCTTATTATAACTCTAAAATATATATTTACTGCATATAGATATTTATCACATGGAGATTAACTTTCAGGGTTTTTTCTCCATTACATTTAAACACAGTAGAATCTTGATGATCAAGGTTTGGCATCAAAGTGCTATTGTACCTTATTAACATAGGCAGCTCTCAAATATTTATGGTAATATCAGGGCAAGGACTCCAGTTTTTTTTTATATCCTGGCTAATATAAATGAAGTTGCGTGACCATCTAGGCTAATTAACAAGGTGATAACAGAAAACAGGCAAGTCATGGACCACTGCCTATAGTCAGCATGTACACCCCGAGATAGCCCTGACCCAGGCTGCTAAACCCACAGGATGCCATAGTGTGCACACACAGCTGCACAGGTTTCAGGTTCGAGTTGCTCATATAGCACCAGCTTGGAAGTTTCTGAACCTTATGCAGACACTAACTGCGTGCACCTGATCGCAGATGATCAAAAGCTGCTATATATATGTATGCAAGACACCTACACATAAGAAGTGTGACAAAGGATCTTGCAATATCTGACTCCAAAAAGCTGTTTCATTATCTTGATCCAAATGACCAAAAAACTCACAGCACTGAAAAAAGTTTCCAATGGCAGCCTTATTTCTACTAGTAACTGTGATAATTTGGAAAAGCTGCTGAAACATGGTCTTAGGTCCTGAACAGCAGAAAGTGCTACACTCGCTCTTCATTTAAATTGAGAGGGTGCTCAGCAGAACAGACCCAGCTCTTCATGCAGCACAGTGTAGAAACTGCAGCATGACTTCTGTTCATCAGACACTGACCTCACTTAAAGGGAGAGCAGGTATTTTAAATAAAATATGTAGTCTCTAGTACAGCCTCCTAACCCAATACACAAAACAGCTTCACAATTTACAATGCTACCTGCAAATAGGAAAAAGCAAGATTCAAGCAACAAAATCAGAGATTAATATTAGGCACTTAAAATTCAGGAAAATCTGAGAGCAGAATGTCTTTCAGTTTTTTTCATAGAAGCTAAGGTGAGAAACAGATATCTGAGGGCAGCATCCCACGTGGCTCTGTTGTTCCAAAACCGCATGGAAACAGTCATACTATAAGTTTTTGTCAATTACTCTTTTGCTGTTAATATTATTATGCCAACAGAAGCCAAGCATTCAAGTATGGCAATACAACCACAGTAAAAGAGTCACCACTTACAGCTTTAACATCCAAATTCATAATCCCCGAATTCACATTGTGTCTTCGCAAATCTGATTTTATTAAGGCTGAAACAAAACAAAACAAAAAAAAAAAAAAAGAAAAAAGAGAAAGGTGGTTCACAACTTTGCAATGACATGCCTTTCAAGGGAAATGTACAGTGCAAGCACATAGAAGCTGCTTTCAGCACATATTCAAAAAACCTGTATTCACCCTTGCAATTTGAACTTACTGACAATTTGAACTTGCTCCTCACAAAGCACACACAGAAAATGACAATAAAAGCTTTTAAACCATGAGTACTTAAAGCAAAGCTTGATGGTTTTAGCACTTTCAGCACATTTGTAAGTACCAGCATGTGTAAGTCACTCGTACAGTTCAGGAATACATCAGCCATTTCTTGCATTTGGAAAACTACAAACTGTCTCCATTTATGTATTTGTTTACATTTACTATCTTACTCTGGAGATAGACATCTGCCTCAAATTCAAGACATGACCTAAGAAATGGGTGACAGATGGCTGTCCATATATTAGTAACATCATCCTTAAAACAAAGGGGGTGCACACAGCAAGTATTTAAAGTGAAAAACAAAGCAAAAAAACCCCAAACCAAACCCTGCACTTTCTGTCAGCCCAGACAGAAAGCCACCTATTTAAATCCTGGATGTCCAAGACATCTGAAAACTACCCAGAAATTCACTATCTCAAAAAAACCCTCCCCATTTTTACATTAAAGAGAAATCATTACTTACATTTCTGATTAATTACCTGTTAAGATAATGCCCACAAAAATCCAAGCACAAAGAAAGAGGTTTCCTGCACGAGGACTGTAGTCTGTTGTGAGTTTTCCTTGAACAAGTGTAAAGACAATTCCAAATATCTATAAACAAACAAGTCACTTCATCAGGATCACATAGAAAAGAGCCATCACTCTACCTTGCAAAGTTTCAGGTCACATCTTATAAAAGCCAAATTTAAAAAATTAAGACTACAGCAACACAACAGAGACTTAACAGCCAAGTCTAAGAAAGGCTTCTTAGATTCAAGCAGAGTGGCCTTCCTGAACATTACTTCACTTGAAGAAATAAAATGATATAACCTGTGCTGATGCATTAAGGAGACCTGACGAAGTGCCTTCAGACTCTGGGTATGTAATTTCCACAGCAAATTCAAACCCAAGTGGGAGATAGCCAGTCATGAAGAACCTGTTGAAGCGGAGAGTAAGAGGATGACAGGTATGGCCTTCATCTATTACTACAGCTAAGAAAATCAAACATGAACACATGGTATTATGAATTAGCTGGTATTCTGAACTGTCTGTTTTCAAGACCTAACATGATTCAATGCTTGCTTTGTCTGCTTCGTTCCCCTGACCTCATCCAACAATTTTAGCCATACATCTCTCTTTTTAGGACAAAGATGTTTTAACATATTTGTCCTGTTTCCCATAACCACCTGAATACATATGAAACAACCTTCTCTGACCAGTCCACAAGCCACTCCATAATTGAAGCCAATTACTTTAAAATGAAAGACATACACGAACGTCATCATTTCATCAGCCCAAACATCTGTGCTGGAGGACAAAAAAGAGACCATCAGTAGGGAATGAGGCTGGATGTGGAAGAAGCTGAGGGGACCAATGGGTGACAGGAAGAGCAGGGGCTGAATGCAGTTGAGATTGGTCAACTAGTTTTTAAACTGAAACTCTCAAAACATTTCTGGCTCTACCTTGACGGCCGTGTCTGGACACAGCACCATTTCCTCAGCACCTTTGGGGGCTCTTAGATTATGTATCTATGAGAAGTGCTCATGCTCTTCTGAGCCAACAAAGCACCCAGCATGTTGCTCAGGCTATCAAAACATAGATTAATCAAAATGCACAGAAGCCAGTCTTCCTAGATTTGCTCATTAAACTCTAATCACTTATCCACTGGGCAACAGAAAGATTCAGCTTTACTGCAGACAGCTTTTTGAATTGGAACCAAACAAATTGACCACATACAGACTTCTGTTAGCTTGTCCTGGTTTCAGCTGGGATAGAGTTAACTGTCTTCCTAGTAGCTGGTACAGTGCTATGTTTTGAGCTCAGTAAGAGGAGAATGTTGATAACACTGATGTTTTCAGTTGTTGCTCAGTAGTGTTTAGTCTAAAGTCAAGGATTTTTCAGCTTCTCAAGCCCAGCCAGCAAGAAAGCTGGAGGGGCACAAGAAGTTGGCACGGGACACAGCCAGGGCAGCTGACCCAAACTGGCCAACAGGGTATTCCATACTGTGTGATGTCATGCCCAGTATATAAACTAGGGGGAGTGGGGGCAGGGGGAATCGCCACTCAGGGACTAACTGGGTGTTGATCGGTGGGTGGTGAGCAATTGCCCTGCGCATCATTTATACATTCCAATCCTTTTACTATTACTGTCATCATTATCATTATTAGTTTCTTCTTTTCTGTTCTATTAAACCATTCTTATCTCAACCCATGAGTTTTACTTCTTTTCCCAATTTTCTCCCCCATCCCACTGGGTGGGGGGGGAGTGAGTGAGCAGCTGCGTGGTGCTTAGTTGCTGGCTGGGGTTAAACCATGACAAGCTCCATAAAAATGTTAAATGAAATTCACTGAAAAATCAGTTACTTTCAGTTTATTCTGATATAACAGAAGGTGAAACCCTAGTAAGCCCTATCTGTACTGTGAGCTATAGGAATAGGTTGAGAGCACAGCAACAGAATATACAGCAGACTCATTTAGTTAAACAATTAAATACTGTTTCTGAACAGAACTGCAGTAAGTCTTCTAGTCCTCTTTAATCGCTCACCCAAGTACTCCTCCAGTCACGAACACTACTATAAGGTATCCGAGGTCCAGGGTAAAAGTAAATACCAGCAACCCAATGAAAGAGAGAACGTAAACAATCAAAGTAGTTTGCCTGCAACCCAACAACAACAACAAAAATTAACATTGTTAACATAAGGTCATAGCACATTGCTGAAGCATGGAAGAGTAATATAAACATTACTTACTCTCTAACAACTGACATTCTACAGCTATAAAGTTTGCTTCATGTAATTCTGACTCAAACATGTCACACAATGAGAATGTATCCCTTCCCAAACTCTGTTGCCTTGGTTATAGACTGCTTTGCTCAAGGCTAAAAAGACTTACTCAGACTCTCAAAGAGTGGACAATCACAGCAGATACTATTACCTTAAAATTAATTTATTTCTCCGCTATGTTGTACCTCTTGGCCATTCTGCAGCGCTGCCCATTATACAATACACGAGCAGCCAAATCGATCACTATTACCAATAAAAGTCAGCCTAAGAGGCAAGTCAAACAAATCTCATTACAATGTTCTACTTATTTTAAATCTGGAATAAGGGATATCATCCAAAATATTAAAGCACACATCACTTATTTATAAGCCAAAACACATGCAGAAACAAAGCCAATCTACAGCATTAACATCCATTAGGTTTTAGAGCTCTTGCACATAATGTACTAAGAGTCACAGGGGAGAACTACTCCACCGCAAGCAGTGCTCCAGGGCACTGCTCACTCCTGAGGGGCACCACACCATGGGTGATGGACCCAGGAGTTCCTACCCCGGAACAGAGCTCTGCTCCATGGTCATCCCTGAATTAAAGCAAATATTATGCTTACTAATAGGACCGGGAGTAGTATAAAAAAAAAATTAGAATCCATCAATTGCCCATTTTACAAAACCAGGCAGAGTAGGTTTTGAGCCTTTATGACTTCCTAGGAGAAGGAGCCCACTGTAAGACATACAGTGCTTTCCTTGTTAGCCTTACACTCCTGAAGAGACAGGAGTAGATGGAAAACCCCTTTGCATCTTTGCATTCTCTGCTCTCATTTCTTTTGGCGAAGAACCAGTAAGAGTCTCAAGCTTTTCCCGTAGCCTCAGAAACTAGTCTCTACCAAGGCCGCTAAAAGATCAGGAGTGAACTGCATTTTATCATCAGTTCACTTCAGCCCTTATGTTGCAATATTTCTCTAATGCAATTGCACCACTTTCCTACCCCTAGCCCCATACATGCCTACCCACACTTACTTGTATGTTTTAGTGTAATCCAGCCACAAACCACAAATAATCGAACCCACCATTCCTGCCACCACCAGTGTCAAGCCAATTCTCCCAGCGTTCACTTCTTCACCCTTTCAACAAATATTTATATGGTGCTCATTAATAACTTGCTTCCACTCAGAGTCAAGTTCAGACCTCTTGGCAGTCATAAGTGCAAACAAACATTCCTATGACTCCCATAGCTGTATGGTGCAAGAAACTGTAGGGAGGTATAAAGGAAACCAAACGTCTGAGCACACATAGCACCTACATAATAATAAACATCACCTCTGCAAAGGTACAGTAAAAAAAAAAAAATACAAAGAAGATCCAAGAAACTTACCTCATAATGAGTTACTACCATCTGGTTTAATAACGTGGAGACAGAATAAAATGCCCCTGTCATAATACCTGCAGTACCAAAAGAAAAGCTTCAGTCATTCCAGGTGTAGCCACGCAGATCTGGTACCCTAAAGAGTTAATCTTTATTTATTTAAGACTCGCATCAGAGGCAAAACCTTTTATCTGCCAGGTAAAATCTCTTCACCAGACCTACATATGGTATTTTGAATCCTGCCGGACTTGCCAGCACTGGCTGTTGAGTAAGTAAAAGCTTGACAGTCCCTCCCACATAGAAAATCACCACCACAACTAAAACTCGATATGTTTTCGGCACACATTTGAACTGTTCTGCCAGACTACAGCCAGACAGCATCACTTACCGTAACTGATCAGCAAAAGTACAAATGGAATATTTTTGAACAAGTTAATAATCGACTGCTTGTAGGAGTAATCCTCGGGAGGCATGGTTTGCAGGACAGCTTGAGAGTGACTAGGAGGGTATTTGGGCTTTTCTTCAAACACTGGGGAAAAAGAAGGAACAATTTTGACTTGTTTTCACCAGACTAATGCTTTTTCTTTTTGAAGTGTTTTGGTTTCATGAATTTCAGAAGATTAACTTGTGGTTTTTAACACTTCCATGAAACAAATATTCTAGATTTTCTCATGGAAGAATCAAGTCACAGCCACAAAGGTTGTGCTAATTATTCGGTCACATCTGATTGCTACCAACGTATGGTCAAAGACAGACTTTATCTGCAATGTGTCTAGAGCTTTGTATCCGAATTGTAAGACTAACAGAGAGACTTCAAATTACATCATAATGTCCTTGTAGCAAAAAGTCTAAGTGAACTAAATATTCTGAGAGAGGTCACTCCACGTGAAGCACGACATACAGTAAACTGGTTGTTGCTTAACCCTGGCGCAACAGGTAAGTGAACACAAGTAAACTCGAGAAACTACTTTGAGCAAAATCAGATTTTAAGTGAGATGTTGTAAACACTCCCTATGGTCACCATTTAAATTACAGGAACAGAAAACTTACCAACTCCTGTTAAGAAGAACAAAAGCGTGGACACTATTGCTGTTCCATAGAACATGATGCTGATGTTATGTGCCATTAGATTGATATCGTCAGGTGTATTTGGAACCAAAACAGGAGGCAACAAAAAGCCAATTGCAGTGCCAAGCTGGAAAGCAAGAAAAGAAAACCAAAAATCATTTCCCTGGGAACATAAAAATTAACAGAATTGAAAAGCCTTACCAGGTAGAAATCAGAATTTATATCATAATAAGTATTAATAAAACAATGAAGGGCAAGTGTTCCTTTAGTATTATACTTCTGAGCCATCCACTCTCAATGACATTTCACAATCAGGTCTTCCATAACTCAGGTTTTAACCTTTTCATTTCTAAATTAAACTACAATACTACACCTAGTTGATAGCACATTTAACAACTAAGCATTAAGGAAGTTTTTTTGCAGAAGAATCTTTCACAGGAAAATACTGTGTGTGCACATAAATTTGTATTGGTCATCCTGCAACTGAAGGCCTAGAGATGACAGAAGTCTCCAGCTACTCTTGTAGAAAGCGTCTTCTCTTTTTCTCAATCAAAATCCTCCACTTGATGTCACAATCCTGCCACTACAGTAACAAAGACTGACATGCAAGGTTTACTGCAGATCTGATAAAGCAGAGAAGAGCAAGAGAAAAGGAGCATCCTTATTAAGAAACACAAACCCAAAACCTACATCTGCAATTATTGCTAAGGAAATAAAGAAAAAAAAATAAATCCCAAAATGAAGTAGTAGTGGGTTTGTATCTGTAGTCAATTCCAACGTAGCAACTGATTTTGTATTAAAAAGGACAAAAAAACGAGGACTGAAATTTGGGGTATATATATATATATATAAAGCATTTTAAAACATGAAGGAACAATAGTCTTGGACTACTCTCCAATTTATCTCTGCTGCTCCTCCAAAACTAAACTGTGTTTTAAAGTATTAGAACAAATTTTTTTTTTTAAATTAAAAAAAAAAAAAAAATCTGCTTCTGTTTCAGGTAAAAGAATAAAATAAAAAAGAGCACCAAAGACTGTTGGAGTAGTAAGTCCAACACTCAGAAAGTACTTAAATTAAAGGTGTGCCAATGTGCTTACAAAGCGCCCTTTGTGCATATGCTCGATGAGGCTTTTGCTGCCTCCCCCCGCCGCACCAGATTCACACAGTATCCAGTGCTCATCTGAAGAGTTTGTCCCTTTTTATCCTCACCCTTCAGTATATGAACCCTACAAACATGAACCGAGTACACAATTACTCTTTTTCTTAAGGTATGTTTTTTCCTCCCCCAGTCAGTGTGAGTCGATACAGTACTCACAGTATTCCAAGAAAGTCAAATGATACCATTTTTCACATTTTACATCTAGAGAGGTTAAGGCCAGAAGGATCGAGAGTTCCAATGAGTCTGGTGTGCCCAGTTTAAGATGCTGAATAGTTGTGGAAATTTGGCACTCCTGACAACCCAGTGATTTGTGTTTCAACTGCAAATGGTCGGCATCTCAGGAAATAACGGGTGCGATCTGATTTTTGATGACTACTCTGTCCCTCCTCTGCCTGCGGTCTCAGCCCTGTTTGCTGTAGCTCTGAAGTTATGCAAAATATCTGATAATGACCAACAGCCCAGTTGATTGTAGCAACCCAATTGTTACACAGCTCACTTTGTGCAATTAAACAAGTACAGCGAGACTATATTGTAAACACATATGGAGAAATGAATTGCGTTGGAATATACAGACAACATTACTTCTAACTTCCAAGTGCCTAATTTGTCATTTCACTACTCTTTCAATCTAGCTTTTGAGAGGTGGTGTTTTTTTTTTTTAAGAAAGCAAAAACTGAGAACAGAGAAGTTCTATTGTCTGACACTTCGTCAGTCTTCATGGGTCACAAGCAGGACTGGGATCTTAAGACCTATGTAGCACACAGGTCTGAGCTAGCAGGGTACAGCACAGCTGCAGAATAATCTATAAGCCTTTGCACAGGACTGCCAGAGGGAGACGAAATACACTTTGTCAGTGCGTTTCACAGGTGTTTCCCTGTCAGAGGGCTATCAAGCAGGTCGGCACACTGAGATCAGTCCTAGCTTCTGGAGGGGAATGTGCTCCAGAAACAACTAAAGTTTATTGTGTTCACACCTCTGCTCTCGTTTTCCTTGTCCATCTTCCTCATGGCTCCCATCCACACAATCCCTGCACTCTTGCTCCTGTCCTGCACCACTTCAACCCCCGTATCTCAGCATCCAAGCAAAGCATCAGTTTCAGACTCAAGTTGGATCCTTGGCACCGCACTGCAGAACTGAAATCCCAGTAACTCCTTGCTACTGGGAGGACCAGTGCATGTCAGGAAGAGCGGAAATTTAGCTGCCAAAGAAACCTTTAACCTGATTCTGGGACACAGAAGCAGAATTTTTGCTCAACTACTAAACCAACCAACCAACAACCCCCCATCTCTTCAGTCCAAAAGGGACAGTTGACTTGTGCACTGGAAGACTGCAATGCAAAAAAATTGTTTTGGAAAAGCATTGGGAAAACTATAAACAGCCAGGTATGAGCTAATGAGCAACCCTAACTGTAAATACATAACGCTAATATTACTGCTGTAATAATCCAAAGTGCACAAACATAAAATCATTAGACTCACATGAGGAAAAACAAATCCCCTGTTACCTTAATTAAACCATACCTATGACCTCAGCCTGCACCAGCGATGTTGATTGGAATCTTAACCTTTTGTTGCCACAAAAAAGCGGGGACAGTGGCAGGGGGCGAGAACAAGGCTATGGGAGGAAAAAACCCATCAGTATCATATCTTCACCCGTGCTTTCAGATACGCCTGTTCCAGCTCTCTGAAACTGGCCGTGACCAGGGAGATCGAGGAAATCTGTGACTCGGTTATCAGCTCCCCACAGCGACATGAGCCCTTGCAGTATTACAGAAAACTTCATGAGTCACCAAGGCATTGACTACTGGCACTTAGCGATTTGAGGCCGTATTTAAAAAGCAGAAACTAATACATGCCGGCACCGGGGCTCTCCACAGAGGTTCACGTACTTCACCCCCCTCCAGCTGGGGGTGGATTCAGTCGGATGAACGATGCTGAACGCGAGAGACAAGATGCCGAACACGAGGAGAAGAGAAAGCAGGGCAGGACGACTTCCAAGAAGGGTCTCAACCGACGGACTCCAGGCAGCCGAGAGAAGCGCGCGAGCTGCTGCACCCCCGCCACGCGGCCAGCGTCCCGCACGGCGAGGCTGGCTGGGCAGGGCGGGACGGGACGTCGCATCACCTCCGCGCTTGCCCCCGCTCCGTCCCTTTTCCTCTCTCCAGCGCTGCCCCGCAACCATTTCTCGGGGAACGCCTTCTACCCCCAACCGACGGACGCTAAGGCAGCCCGCTTCCCCTCCGCCCCTACCTGGTTGCCCAGCACGGCCACGGCGCAGGCGGTGGAGACCTCGGTGGGGCCGAACCAGACGGAGGCGATGCGCGAGGGCAGCCCCAGGATGAAGACCTGGGCGACGGCGCAGACGGCCTGGGCTGCCAGCGTGAGGGGGTACCGGCCGGGGGCCAGGCTGGCACACTTGAGCCAGGCGCCCAGGCCGTTGAGGCCGGCGCCCAGCAGGGCAGTGAGGCGCAGGCCGCGGGCGTCCAGCAGCCAGGTGGCGGGCAGGATGAGCGGCACGTAGGCCACCATGTAGACCATGGAGAGCCAGTCTATCTGCGTGAAGGAGACGCCGTAGAAGCCGGCGAAGACGTTGCTGAGGATGCTGTACTGGATCCACTGGAAAGCGTTCACCAGCGAGTAGCAGCTGAAGACGGCCAGCACCGCCAGCCGCCGCCGCGACAGGCGCGTC